GATTTGTTGCTTCGGATGCAGCTATATATTCTGCCTCTGCTGTGGATTGTGCAACCATCTTTGCTTCACTGAGCTCCAGCAGATGGGACTTGATCCCAGGTAAAATATATAGCCTGAAGTGCTCTTCATGTCATCACTTGATCCAGCCCAGTCACTATTAGAGTAACCTGTTAAAACATAACCTTCTGATCTCCTAAACCAGATTCCAAGACCGGTACACCCTCTGATATACCTTAGGACTTGTTTAGCCACTTGAAAATGAAGATCACTGGGCTCTTGTCTGAATCTGGATAGCAGATTTGCAACAAACGTGAGATCAGGCCGTGTAATGGTTAAATACAAAAGACATCCCACAAGACTTCTATACACCTTTTCATCACTCTGCTTGCTGTCATTCTCCTTCATCAATTTCAGATTTTGAACAATAGGTGTATTAACGGGCTTACATTTTTCCATGCTAAACTTCTTCAGCACATTCTCAGCATATCGCTGCTGGTTCACAAAAATCCCGTTTTGAGTTTGATAAATTTCCATGCTAAGGAAATAATTTGCGATCCCCAAATCTGTCATCTCAAAGACTGTCATCATTTCATCCTTCAACTTGTCAACAGCCTCTTGATTGCTCCCAATTACCAGCAAGTCATCAACATACAAGGAAATGATGGTAGTTTCATCCTCCTTTTGCTTGAAAGAAAGTGCCTATTCATTCACACTTTTAGTGAATCCAAGACTCATCAAATGATCATCAATCCTACTATACCAGGATCTTGGAGCTTGCTTCAAGCCATACAAAGCCTTCTTGAGTAGATAGCCCTTGTTTTCTTCTCCAGCAACAGCAAAACCATCCGGTTGTTCAACATGTATCTCCTCATTCAGCCAACCATTTAGAAAGGCAGACTTAACATCTACATGATGAACTCTCCAGCCTCTTATAGCAGCAATTGCAAGTAATAATCTAATGGTTTCATACCTTGCAACAGGGGCAAATGTTTCAGAATAATCATCCCCATATTGTTGTTCATAGCCCTTCACAACAAGTTTGGCTTTGGCTTTATTAAATGATCCATCTGCATTCAACTTAGTCTTGAACACCCATTTTATACCAAGGACATGCTTATCTCTTGGTCTATCAGTTAGCTCCCAAGTTCCATTCTTATTGATCATTCTCAGTTCTTCTTCCATAGTAGCCATCCACACTTGAGAATTTATAGCCTCAGCAAGATTTGATGGTTCCAGTAATGCTGTGTTGCAGTTGGCGTATATATCAGCTAATGGCCTTGTCCTTAGCACTGGATTTTCTGAATCAGATCCACTATCAGCCTCTAAATGATCAAGTTCAATCCCTACTTCATCATTGCCCATTTCATCTACTTCATTTGTGACCATTCTTGGCATCTGAGACTGATTTTCTTTGCTGGTCTCTGAGTCAAGTTCCCAATTCCAAGATGATCCTTCATCAACCTTGATATCCCTGCTGGACATCATCTTCTTTGATTGAGGATTATACACTTTATAGCCTTTTGCATTTTCACAATATCCAATCATGATAACAATATCAGCTTTCTTACTCAACTTGTCCCACTTCACATCTGGTATATGCACATAACAAAGGCTTCCAAATACTTTAAGGTGGGACACATCTGGTTTAACACCAGTCCAAGCTTCATAAGGTGTCATTTTATCCAATGATTTTGTTGGCAATCTGTTTAGTAAGTACATAGCTGTATTAACAGCTTCTGCCCAAAACTTCTTAGGGATGTTCTTCTCCAACAATAGACATCTAGCCATCTCCATAATTGTCCTATTTTTCCTTTCACAAACCCCGTTTTGCTAAGGAGAATAAGGCATAGTTAGCTGGTGTTTAATTCCCATTTCATCACAAAATCTGTCAAATTGGTTGCAGCAATATTCAGTTCCATTATCAGATCTGATAGCTTTAATTTTTCTGTCACATTCGTTTTCCACAAGCGTCTTAAATTTTTGAAATATACCAGCAACTCGTGACTTCATTTTCAAGAAGTAAACCGAACACATTCTGGTTTTATCATCAATAAAAAGGACAAAGTATCTACTTCCATTCAATGTTGGTACCCTCATTGAACCACACACATCTGAATGTATAAGATCAAGTTTATTTTCTGCTCTCCTAGTTGAGTTTTTGTCAAACGGCAGCCTTCATAATTTTCCCAATTGACAAGTATCACACACACATTCATCCTTACTGATCTTAGGCATGTTTTTTACTAGCTCCAAATCATGCATTTGTTCAAGTGACTTGTAGTTAGCATGCCCAAACCATTTATGCCACAAAAGGTGATTCATTTACAGTCCCAATGAGTGCCTGATTTTTCACATTTCTCAGTTCCAAAGGAAAGCTTCTATGTCTCATATCCACTTTCATCACTTCTTGATTTAATGAATCAAGTATAGTACACATATTGTCTTTAAATATAAGCATATGACCTTTCTCAATTAACTGGCCGACACTTATCACATTCTGATCAATTTTAGGGACAAAAGGAACATCTGAAATATACTTGGTACCTAATGGAGTTTGCATAGAAATTTTGCCTACCCCCTTCACTTCCACATGTTCTCCATTTCCAACTTTCACACTGGACCTGTATGCATTATCTAGCTTAACAAAAATGCCTAAATTTGAGGTCATATGATGAGTACAACCACTGTCCAACAACCAAGATTCATTAGCATTTCCAATTTTTGAACTGATTGCTGAAAACAGATGCTCCACCAGTTGCTGTGTTTGATCTTCTGCCAACCATGCTTGCTGTTGGTTCGGTTTTTCCTTTGAGTTTTTGCACACTTTTTGAATGTGACCAAATTGTTTACTCCCCCTACATTGAACTCCAGGACTATACCAACACCACTTGGGTGAATGACTAGATTTTTTGCAATGGGGACAAGGTGGATAATCCACCTTTTTATCAGTAGCAC